ATTTCAAATATTGTATCCTAAGAAAAATCACTTCCAATAACAGAATTTCAACTGAATCAACCAGAAAGTTATTTCTGTCATTAAGCATTTTGGGGCACAATTCTTATAAATATTATTAGAAAACAATATAAAGTAAAATGAAAACTTTCACATTCTTGACAACATAGTGTTCAGTAAAGAAATAAAATAATGGATCTTAATATTAGCTACTGATTTCTTAAAAGTGTAGCTGTATAGGGATAGCTTTTAAATTTTTTTTGATATTTCCACATAAAATTATGTGTTACAAATAAACAGTAGAAATCCATTATGAGATTAGTGGAAAGTGATGATTATTTGTGGTTAGTTAATTTTGTTTGACATAGTACACTCACGGTATGGTTATCTAGGGAAAGGGAATGGCAGTATAAGGGCTCTAGGGCAGAAGTATGCCTAGTGTTTCTAAGGAATAGTAAGGAGGCCAGTATGACTCGAGCAGGGAACAAAGGGCCTGACTAAGGATGAGGTTACAGAGAGAAAAGGGAGCCAAATCTTGTAGGGCTTTGAAGATCATGGTAAGAACTCTGGCTTTTATTTTGAGTGACATAGAGAACCATTGGAAGATTTTGCTGCCTGATGACTTCCTCCCTTGTGCCCTTGGCAAACCTCTAGCACACTACAGTCCCTTCTGTTAATTAATTTGCATATCTTCTCTGTTCAGCTCTGTACAGCTGTGTCCCCACTCTCTCAATTTCCCACTTTCAAATTCCACAGAAATCTGATTGACTCAGCTCGACTGAGCCAGGCCATGAAAATTATAAATTGCCAACCAGACAGTGGATTGGCTAATGTTTGGTTATGTGTTTGTCTTTGGCCCTGTCAGCTGTGTTCTGGGTGAAGGATCATGTGGTCTACTACCCGACTCAGGAGAGAGTGTGGTTGGGGCATTTAATGACAGCAATGTCAAGTGTTGTCTCATATATTGTACTTGTAGTCTAGTGCCTTGGAATACATTGAAACATGATCATCCCCCTTTCATTCTCTATATCTTCTCCACTCCCCACTTCACCTCCAACACACAAACACCAAAGTGTGAGAAGGAGATGTAGGAATTTTTTCTTTTTATTCATTAATTCATTGCATACTTATTGAGTGTCCACAGTATGCCAGTCAATATGGGGACAAAGCAGTGAATGAAGTGAACTAGATAGAGTCCTGCTCTCATGGAACCTACATTCTCCATCTACACCCTAGATGGAGAGATAGGTAATAAAGAAGTAAGTAGATCGACAAGAGTTTTGGTAGTTGTTATAAAGAGGGGGCTTTCTGAAGAGATATTTGAGCTGAGACTTGTTTGCCCATTTTCACTATCAGTAGCCTTAAATTCTTAAAGCTGGTGGTGCCACACTTAAGGTTATAATATTGTTTACAATATTTTATAACAGTTTCTAGAAATGTTTACTCATTTGTATTGTTTAGAGGTTTGTTTTTATTTCTAAGTTTTTGAAGGAAAAAACTCTATTTTTTCCTCACAAAGATTTTGAAGATAAATAGTATTCATATACATTTTCTCTTATTATTTACATAGTTTAAATTGAAAGTAATTATTCATTTTACATAGAGCTTTTAAAAGAGAGAAAGCGAGTGCACCCATGCGTGTGTGTGTGTGTGTGTTTCAAGAGTAGATGAGGATTGATGATAAAGGACATGGGAGGCTACTGTTTTATTTGTGTTTCAGTCTAAGCATTTTCCTCATTTTCTATAAGACTAAAAATAAAATTTTAAAATCATAGTGATTATTGTTAAACATGTAGGCTAGTTACTGGAGGACTAAACAACCTACATAGGATTTGTATTTTACATATAATGTTATTGCATTAAAGGATATTAGTGTCATAATGTCATTAGTTTTTTTTTTTAAGAAACAGGGATCTCGCTATGTTGCCCAGGCTGGACTTGAACTCCTGGGTCCAAGTGATCCTCCCATTGCAGCCTCCCAAGTGGCTGGGACTATAGGCATGAGCCACCATGCCCACCTTGAATTTTTGATTAGAAATTGCTAATTCTAATTACAAAGCCAACTGGGAACTGTAAATTGTGTTCCTTGTAAATCTAGTAGATCATGTTAATAGACAGTCTGAAGGGGAGTAATATAGACAAGTAAATGTGTTTATTTCTTCCCTCTTTGGCTTTTTTCTTAATTAAAGGAAATCAATGAGAATGATATCCTGAGTTAAACAACCTTCCTTCTGAGGTGAACTCATTTCCAGTCAGTTTTATCTCAATATAATATGCAGATTATACTTAACTCCTAAACACAGTTTTTTTCTTCAGTAATTATTATTCATCACCCACTTCCTTCTAAAAAGGAATCGTAGTTGCCAAAAGTCAGTCTTGAGTGTCTAACAATAGAGGATTCATTGAATAAGTTATGCTATAACTGCATTGGAATGGTAGTATTCAGCCTTATGCTATAGAGAGAAGGCATCCCTAACTCAGAGGGAAGGAAGAGAACTGACAGTAGCCAATGAGACTGCATGTCTCCACTATTACTTCCCACTTTGGGGAGCCTGGCTCTAGACAGGCTTGAGTTTGGCAACAATCCTTCATGGGGAAATAATTTTCAGTGAAGCTCTTAGAGATTTGATTTGTGACTTACGAGAACATTATTAATGCCCGCAGAGCTAGCGAAAGTACACAGCATGGTGGTAGCACATCATAAAAATGAGATGAATAGTGCAGTAGCGTGAGTAATGATACAGAAGATGTTCGCACTGTGTTCAGATCATTGGAAGTAGTTCCTAAAGTTTGAGTAGTCTTTCACTCAGAGTTAAACATAGTGTTCAAGCAGATATGTCCCCAGGACTCAGCAGAGGCCTCTGTTAAGAGAAAAAGATATTAACAGTGGTCCAGGTGACAGTTCTAACAGATACCTCTGCATATTCAGGTATAATTTGCCTGGAAACAAAAGCTGCCAGCCTTTGTGCGGTGAACATTTAGCTTACATTTATGCATAGCCTGCTACTACAAAATAACCTTATTCATTGTCACAGCCTATAATGGCAGTTAAGACAGGCTTTGTAAAGCTCACTTCCACCATGCCTGCTCTCACCCCTGCTGCTAGCCGTGGAATTAGCAAACTAATTCTAAGGTGCCATTTGTCGAGTGATACAAGACCTCAGAAATGATATTGCCCATTTGTACTATTTACTAGTAAAGGAACTCAATAGCAAGGTGAAAACAGAGGGAGAGAATGTGCTTTTTTATGTACTTGTATTTTACCTCAAATTCTGTCTTTATTTCTTTAGTTCTCTGCTCCCTGCTTAAATAATAATCTATACAGATCAGCCCACATTTTGGTTTTTGTATTTGGTTTGGATCTTTACATATTAGGAAGGAAATTATGCACAAAAACATATATAGGGGAAATGAAATGTCTGGAAAATAAATAACAAGAAGTGATTCAAGAGAAGCCAGTACCTGATAGGATTTACTTAATATACTATGACAGAACCAGCGTTCACAACCCTGGTTTCTTATTAGCATTACCTGGGAAGGTTTTAAAAAATACACATACCTGGGGAACAGTGGCTCATGCCTATAATGCTAGCACTCTGGGAGGCCGAGGCGGGAGGATAGCATCAGGCCAGGAGTTTGAGACCAGCCTGAACAAGAGCGAGACCCCATCTCTACAAAAAATAGAAAAATTAGCCAGACGTGGTGGTTTGTGCCTGTAGTCCCAGCTACTCTGGATGCTGAGGCAGGAGGATTGCTTGAGCCTAGGAGTTTGAGGTTACAGTGAGCTATGATGACACCACTGTACTCTAGCCCGGGTGACAGAGCAAGACTCTGCCTCAATTAAAAAAAAAAAAAATGCCTGGGACCCACCCCAAAAGTTTCTATTTTAATTGGTTTGAGGCAGTGACTAGGCATGTGTGTGTGTGTGTGTGTGTGTGTGTGTGTGTGTGTGTGTGTGTGTGTGTTAACCCCCTCCATAATCTCCCTAGACCATTCTACATGGAGCCAGGAATGAAAACTGGTGAATTATGTATTTTCTGTTTACCTCTAGAAAACAGAAATAGTAGTATTGAGGGAAAGGTACAGAGTAGAAGATTTCAACTTATATAATGAAGAGTGTTCTAGTAATTAGAACCTTCTCCTTCTAGAAATATTCACGTATACACAGATTAACCACTTGTGAAGGATGCTTTGGAGATGACCGCTTTGCATAACATGTAGGACTTGGTTGTTCCTTAATTAAAAAAAAAAATGCTGCTGTGCTTCTGCAGATTTGGCATCAAGCGTACTAAAGCTCAGTTTTGGTCATACTGACTTTGAGCCGTCTTTGGTACATCCTAGGTGGAGATTTTAGTTGACTAAATGGCTCTGGAGCTCAAAGAGAGACCTGACGGGGAGAACATCAGTAAAAGAGTGGTAGTGGAAATCATCATCTCCATATTATTCTTTGTTCATTTCATCCATTTCTTATAAGCTTACCATGTATTATTAGTGATGAACAAAACAGATACAGTTCTTGCCCTTACAGCCAAAGATTCTTTAGCCCTCATAGACTGAAGAATCTTTACAAAATTACCTGGCAGCTTCTTAAACTGTCATCTATGTCAGCTAGATTGCTGTAGCAGGGCCCATGGTTGCAACTGGATTATAAATTTCTCAAGAAAAGTTTTTCCTAATTCATCTAAAATGATTGAGAATATATGTAGACACTGAGGTAATGAAAAAAGGAGAAAATCTGATGGGGATTTCTAAGCCCAGAAAATAAAATCTTAGAGAAGGATCTCTAAGGTCTGTTTTATTTATAATTTGCTTTTTTCTCTTTTGCTGTTTTTTCCCTTCGTCTCTTTAATTTTTCCTGCTTTTGTTAACATCATTATTATCAGTTCCTGAGTAGAGAGATTCTTGATACACAGTTTTTTCCTAGTACCAGATTTTTAAATTTGGTCATATACTCTCAAAGATTTACTGAAAATATGATATTAATGTAATTTTAACAACTACAGATACCGGGAAGCAATTCAGAAGTGGGATGAAGCATTACAGTTAACCCCAAATGATGCTACCCTGTATGAGATGAAATCACAGGTAATAATTATGAAGAATTTCACTTTTATTATGAAATTGCACTATGTTTGTTTGGTTAGCAATGATGAACCCAAATAGCATTTTCTTCCATTTTCTTTTTCAAATACTATTTATTTGGGAAAAAATACTTCATTGTTATTTATGGCTGTGCCTTAGGCATAAAATTAGAAATTCATTTGTCTTCACAATGAAGTTTTATTTCAGCCTAACTATTGTAAGATATGAGTAAATGGATATCTTTTAAAAAGTCGTGGTAATCTCTTAAATAATGAACAATGTCTGTTTTCCTTGTGATTTGATTGTGGTAGACTTAGCATTAGCTCAGTTTTCTTTAAAATGGGGACGGGTTGGTTTCTGGATGAGGTGTCTCTAAAAATGGCTTAGTCCTTAGCCAAAGGTCAGAATAGATGCAATTTATTAATAGTTTAAAAATAACATTTGTACCTTAAAAATACATTTCTAATATTTTGTGGGAAAGTCCATGAAGAAAACCTCTGAGCACTTGAATTAGGTTATCTAAGAGACTTTAAAAGTTTAAAACATATTTTAACATTAAACATATTTTTGCCAGGGAATGGTTGCAATTCAGTCTTGATCTGTACACCTAACAAATATTTTTCAAATGATGATCTAAAACATTTGACATGCCCTTTATCAGCTTTGACATTGGTTTATCCAGGAAAAACCCAAATAAATTATGTTTGATGGGTCAAGTGCTATGAGGGCCTTCATTTGGATTCCTTTAATTTTCAATCTTAAATATGTATATATTAACAGGGTTTGTAGTGAACTGTATGAAGAGTTGTTTAATTTAGAACCTAATAATTATATTTGTGTCACAAACTTTTTAAAATTTTAATGGTCCCCAGTATTACAGATGAAATTCAGAACCTTTCCCACAGACTAACCCACAGAGTAAAGTGGAGGGTGCTAGAACTGTCTGATTTTTATGATTTATATGGTTTGAAAAGCCTACTGGTGAGTAGGCCCGTGGAGTGTTTGAATGATTTTTATAGCAGAAACATTGTTCGTTAGCATAGGATGGCTGGTAGAACAAATTAATTTGCCTAGTTTAATAGCAAATCTTGAGATTCCCTAAAAACTACATCGTAAATAGAGTAAGTAATGGAATTGAGAGTTTATAAGCTCTGACCCACCATGGCTAGAATATAACCACTTGGTTTTGACCAGATGGACATAGGATTCAATGACTGGGAAGGAAATAGTTTATATTTTCATAGTTATTTCAGGAGTGAAAAGAGGACTGTAATTCTTGACCCCGAATGGCAAAGGAGGGGGTAAAAACTACTAAAATGCTATTTACCAGACTGAAAATATATTTTAAAAAATGAAAAGAGTTGTTTACATATGGTTATCCATCAGTACTTTGCTAGTTTATGAATATTACTGACAGGATTTCCCACCCCCCTTTTTGGCTTATAGGTCCTAATGTCTCTTCATGAAATGTTCCCAGCAGTACATGCAGCCGAAATGGCTGTTCAGCGAAATCCACATTCATGGGAGTCTTGGCAAACTTTGGGACGTGCTCAGCTTGGATTGGGAGAGATAATCCTGGTAAGGAAGTCAGATTATTATCACGCTGAAATTTTAAGTTTATTTTGATATGTTTTTGATCAACTGAACCAAAAAGTAAATAGCCATTTATCAAACCTTTGTAAAAAATAAATAGCAAATTACCTCTTAAAGGTATTATTAATCCATAAACACAGATTAAAGCTATTACCAAACATCTTTTCTTTATTATAAATCTCAGTTATATCAGGGTCAGAATAATTGTCATCCTGGGAATTTAAAAAAAAATTGACAAAAAACATTGTCATTTGGTAAACCAAATACAAATAATGTAATTAAAAAATGGGTAAAGGATCTGAATAGATATTTTTCCAAAGAAGTTATAGTAATGGCCAAAAAGCACATGAAAAGATGTTCAGCATCATTTACCAATCAGGGAAATGCAAATCAAACCACATAGAGATACTACTTCACATCTACTAGGATGGCTGCCATAAAAAAGATGAACAATATCAAATGGTGATGAGGGTGTGGAGAAATTGGAGCCCTCATACATTTCTAGTGGTAATATAAAATGTTACAGCTATTTTGAAAAACAGTCTGACAGTTCCTCAAAAAGATAAAACATACAGTTACCATATGACATAGCAGTTCCACTCTTAGGTTCATACCCAAGAGAAATGAAAACACATCTTCATACAAAAACTTATACACAGATATTCATAGCAGCATTATTTATAATGGCCAATAAGTGGAAACAACTCAAATGCCATCAACTGATGAATGGATAAGCAAAATGTGGTGTATGGGTACAGTGGAATATTATTCAGCAATAAAAAGAATTGAAGTATTGATACATGTTACAACATGGACGAACCTTGAAAACAACATGGTATTTGAAAGCAACCAGACACAAAAGGCTACATATTGCATGATTTCATTTATATGATATATACAGAATAGGCAAATTTATAGAGATAGCAAGTAAGTTAATGGTTGCCTAGGACTGGGGTCTTGGGGAAAAATGAGAATGACTGCTAATAGGTATGGGGTTTTCTTGTGGGGTAATGAAAATGTTCTAGAATTGATTATGGTGATGGCAAATATTTAGTAAATATGAATAAAATTACCTTTTAATATTTCATTAGGCATTACCTTTATACCATGAGGAGGTATTTAACTCTTTTTCATATTCCTAGGACAATTGTTTTTTTAAAGAACACATAAGGCACAATGCTCCTGGTACCTTAGGGGCTAAGCAAATATTTCTGTGCCCAGTCACACTTCCTGATTAATTTACTGATTTTTGTCTTTGAACAAAATTAAATCATTGAGATTTCATTATATTTTTGATTGTTCAAAGATATCCAATTAAAGATATACCACTGAAAGTTTGATAACTTTTAAAAAAAATGAACAAATATTATAGTCCAAACTTTCAATGATTTCCCATCATGTAAACTTCACACTTTTTGGCCTGGCATTCTTGCTGCAATTTAAAAACCCAGCTCCCATTTTTCATTCACATTGTACTCTGCTCGTACTACTCTGTATACTTTATATCTCTATATATCTGTCTCTTTATAATGCTGTCTAAAGGGCCTAGAATAGATTGTAAATCTGTAGATTATGTGGAATCCTAAAACTAATGTTTGCATGACGATCTTCTGTCCAGAGAGTAAGTATACTCAGAGAGAACAACACGCAGTGGATTTAGACTGGTGATTCTCAACTGGAGGCAATTTGGCCTCCCAGGGGATATTTGTCAATGTCTGGAGACATTTTTGTTTGTCATAACTAGGAGAGGAAGCTGTACTGGATCTCGTGGGTATAGGTCAGGGATGTTGCTGAACACCTACAATAGACAGGGCAGCCCTTTCAAAATAAAGAGTAAATCCAGTCCAGAATGTCTAGAGTGCTAAGGTTGACCTTTGTCCAGACCGAAGTGGAGTTCTTTTAACTAAGCAGTATTATATAGTGAACAAGAACATGGACTCCGCAGCCAGACTACCTGAGTTTGCATCCCAGCTGTGCCACTTCCTAGCTCATACCTTTGGTAACTAATCTCTCTGTCCTTCTGTAAAGTAGGACTGAAAACAATAACCATACCTACTTTATAGGATTATTGTGAAGATAGATGAGTTCATATATGTAAATCTTTAGTGCCTCGAATGTAGTAAACACTCAACAAGTGTTAACATTGTTAAGATCTAAACTCTTGGCTTCAAAGATATGCATTCTTGGTACCTTCCTGATTAAGAGTTAGCCCAGGAAATCCCTAGGTTTATATATATTTGCTGGTCTGCAGAAGCTGAACAGTATATTTGCTTTGTCTTAATAATAGTACTAATATCAGTACTGATATTTTAATAGCTTTTAGTCCATCAGCATATTGTAAGTCTCTTTCATACTTCTGTAATTTTTTTGTAATTTTTAAAACATTTTTTAAAAATTTTTAATTTTTTTGCAATTGTTTTTGTAATTTTTTTTCACCATAATCATCATCCAGTGGTTAGGGCAAAGCCCTAACTTCTATCCTTTATGTTCCAATACATTAAAATACATTAGAATGTGTATGTGTGTGATAAATACACACACACACACACACACACACACACACACACACACGATTGTATTAAACACTAATTTTTAAACACAAAACAAACGAAAAACTGTGACCTTTTTTCCCCCAGGCTATTAGAAGTTTTCAAGTGGCTCTTCACATCTATCCAATGAACCCCGAAATATGGAAAGAAGACCTCTCTTGGGCAAGAACGCTCCAGGAACAGCAGAAAGTAGCACAGAAGATTAAAAAAAGTGAAGCACCAGCTGAAGTAGCACATTTTTCACCAAAGTCGATTCCAGACTATGACTTTGAAAGTGATGAGATTGTTGCTGTTTGTGCTGCTATTGCTGAAAAACAGAAGACAGTTTCTGCAAATAAAACAATGGTCATTGTGTCTGCTTCTGGGACTGTAGAGACCGTAACTGAGAAGGAAGATGGCGCTACACCACCAGATGGCTCTGTTTTTATCAAAGCCCGATGAAGCAGTGTGCGTAATGGAGGAATTATTTGAATCTTTTTGATTGCCACTTAAAGTTTAGATATAGGGACATTTCCTGTGGAGATAGAGGGCAAAACTCCTGTTTGTAAAAATAAGTTTATCAGATGGGGCATACAAAAACTAAATGGTAGAATTATATAGCGTTTGGACTATGTCTTGATAAGTTATGATTTATACTTATTAAGATTAGAATTCTGAGTAAACTTGCTTTTGATTAATAAACTTAACATAATCTGAATATATAAGTGAATATGTTTTAAAAGCAACTTGAAAAGTATATTCTTAAATAGTGGATAACTTGATGGCTAATGTTATTAAAATGTTGGCTCAACTTTTATGGTAAAGGAAGTGTGTGATTTCCTTCCTTCCTAGAAATATACTGTTGTTACTATTCATTCTTTCATTTTTCTTGCTTCATTAGAGTAAATCTGTCACAAAGCTTGAATATTTTCGACATTTCATTTTGATTCAAAGGTGTCATTTGGTTACATGTGAAATCTTTGAAAGTTTGGCTGAAAATGCATGCAAATGTGTACCTTCTGAACATTTTCTGAAGTTTCTCTTAATTCTGATTTGTGTTTCTATTTTGACTTTAAAGTTATGACAATGATAGTTTTCTCTTTCAGTGTTTGTTAGATGTGTGAAGTATGCAGAATGATTTTTTTAAATTGTTACAGTAGGTAGAATAGTCCTTACCGTAAGTGAGTCATTTTTAACATGTGCATTTTTAAAATGAATGGCTTTTACAGATAGGCCATGATAAATTGTACTGCTGTATCATCCCAGTCAAAAGCAGTATTTTCCTTCCTTTAATTTTAAAAGCTTAAAAAACCCTAAGACAACTTGTTTCTTGCTTGTAACTTTTTCCAGGTAATGATTTAGAATTGCTTTTCTAGATAACTTTTTTGGAAATAGTGAAATGAAAAATAATTACAGTTTTAAATAGCTAAATGATATCTTTCTAAAAATAAAAAAGTAAGGATGTTATTAAAAGTGTCAATGAGTAACTGAAACACAAAATACATAGAAACTGGAATGTGATTTATAGTACAATCCTGTGTTTATGAGAAGGCTATGTTAAATATTTTGTTGAAAAGCCACAATCACATTCACAAATCAATACAGTTGTTGCTGATTTATTTTTATAACTATATATTGTAGTACAGTTATAAAGAACTGTGGATACTGTAATTTCTGACACTCAGGAAGATATTATTGGTGGAAAATTAATTTTATCTTTGTTAGGGATGAAAGTAGGCTACTTTATGTTAAGGATGTTACCTAACACGGTTGGAGCATGTAAGTAATGGTCTACATTTTTATGAGGATGAGTTTTCAAAATTTCATTCTATTGCAATGCTTATCTCTTTCTTTTCAGAGTTGGAGAAATCAGCACTTGCCTTGACAAGTATATTTTTACCCTAAATTATATCATCAGAAAGTTAGCTCTGGTTAAAGAAAGGTCAGTTTCAGAGTGATCCAAAAAAACAAATATTAATTATTTTATTTTGTTTAATAAGGAAAATGCTCAAAAGGTAGATAATTATCTAGAGAAGTGGATACTCAACATTTGATACGTTGTTTTGAGTAATGGATGGTTGTTTATTGTGTAATTTGTGAATAAATAGTTTTTTCTGCATTTTGGAGACTTTCTTATTTTGTGTTGTTAGCTTTTGAAAAATTAGATTGATTTACTTAATTTCTTATGTGAACATAATATATGTAAAGTACCTCGCATGGTGCCTTGCACAGGAAGTGCTCAGTAAATGCTGGCTATTTCTATGAAGAATCTGAATTAATTTGGAGATATTTAACCTCAATTTCTTCTGACTTTAAGAAAGGAGAACTTTTTTGTAATCCTTTCCTTATTTGAAAGTGAGAGGTCACAACTTCTGATATTATAGGACAGATAGTTATCAGTTGGGGATTATTCTTGGTGTAAGGTCTGTGCCTCAACCCCAAAAGATGCAAGACCTAGGATGTAGTACATGTAGCCACTAAACCCTGTTAAAGAATCTAGTGTTTCCTCTGTATTGGCATTGGTGGGCCAGGTTAGTCTCTTCCTTACCCAGATGTAAGTCATAAATAGACATAAGGTTGAGGAGAAAAAGGAATAGAGAGTTATGTGAAGGAAGGCAGCTCATTTCTTCAGGCCCCCAAAAATGCTTATTTTAGCTAACACTTTCCTATGCATCAGGAGAAAAATGCATCTATTATTTTATAAGGATGTGAATACCAATATACAAATGTTTAGTAAGCTTAATTGTAATAAATCTTTGTGAATATGAAGAAAAATAATTGATGTTCATAATAGTGATATAGTTATTATTGTAAATGTTTAATATATTTCCTGAAATAGCACTGCTTAGTGTTCAAGTTATATTGAATATAATTTATATTATTCTTGTTTGAAAATTATATTGCATAGGCACTCAGTAGAATGCTACACATTCAGACCATGCCTGATAACCTGAGAATAATATGTTATTCTCTAGGAAACAAGCTCTTTGATTATAGAGTATTTATCTTAAATATGCTAACAAATGCTAACTAAAACACTGAAGAACAGTCATGTAAGTTATAGATCAGAGAACCCAGATCTACTGCAACTGGGGCCTACATGCAGAATTTTACGGAAGTGGTTTAAGTATGAAAACATTTTAGATTGGTGCCATATGGTGAAACGATGGAGACTTAAAAAAATCTTTGTCTAAGAAGGCTAGAGTTTCCATGATTATAACTGAACAGTAGCCTCTTCAGTTTGAAAATTATGCTTTACAAAATGATTTAAAAGCTTGTTTCACTGCCTTTTCCAGCAGTAAGAAAATTATTAATCATTTCTTTTAATTTCCTTGAGTCAGATGCCCTTCTAAATTGACTCTGGACCAGCTATTCTGAGCTGTGATTTCATGACATACGTATCTAAGTGAGTTGCGAGTTGACACAAGAACCATAGTTTCATAATAATTATTTTCAATGAATATCTTAAATATGTTTTCTTTGTTCCTGAGAGGTTATTTAAACTCATGGTATATTTTATAATTGATGGCATTTTGAGATTGAGAAAATAAGGTTTTTTTGGTTTTTTTTTTTGAGACAGAGTCTCACTCTGTTGCCTGGGCTAGAGTGCCGTGGCGTCAGCCCAATTCACAGCAACCTCAAACTCCTGGGCTCCAGCGATCCTGCTGCCTCAGCCTCCTGAGTAGCTGGGACTACAGGCATGCACTACCATGCCCGGCTAATTTTTTCTATATATATTTTTGGTTGTCCAGCTAATTTCTTTATATTTTTTAGTAGAGACAGGGTCTCGCTCTTGCTTAGGCTGGTCTCAAACTCCTGAGCTCAAACAATCCACCCGCCTGGGCCTCCCAGAGTGCTAGGATTGCAGGTGTGAGCCACCACGCCCAGCCAGGTTTTTAAACCAATAATAAAATACGGAAATTTGTAAATTACCTCCTTACCAAAGTAAATTAAAATGAAATAAAGGAGATTATCCCTAATGTCATGTACCTTAGTCACTTGCAATTAAATATGGCCACTTTGGAAGGGAAAGGGTGGCCCTATAGCTAACGTGCCATGAATTGTGCCTTAATGTGTGATATATGTGAACTTCACCTGTTGTGTATGTCAAGGTGGAAGAAAGGTTGAGAAATGCTGATCTATACTTTGGTGGGAAAGCGGGATGGAGATGGCTTCCTTTCATAGAGCTTCTTAGGCCGTCCATTAACCAAGGAATCCTGATCTCTCCCTCCCACATGCCCAGGAAAGAAGGGAATTTAAGACACAGAACTGGGCATGCCATGCCCTTTCTCCTCTTCCTTTGAATTTGTCATGCCTGCAGAGAGCCCTGTGGTCTCTTGCCAGCCACATTGTGAGCCTTGCAGTGAAGGTTCTCTGCCTCTGTGAGGGTAGACCTGTGCTTGTGCAAAACTGCCCAGGCCTTGGTGAGCAAGTCTTTTGAATTCTGGGTTTGATATTAGGTGGCCATTGTTGGCATAAACCGAATATACATTCTTTAACCTAGTCTTTTTCAGCAATTCATCTGATATATTGAAGCTGTCTGTCTCTTTTGTGGTTCAGAGGTCAGGAAGGGACAATGGGTATTATTTTATGACTCCCTCAAACCCCAACAAAAATTAGTGCAGATTATATTTCAAAGTAAGCATGAGATATATTTTTAATATGGGAATTCTTTTCTGGTTTTAGAATTTTTTATCATGGAAATTCTATTGAAAATGAATATTATTAATTATAAGGCAACATGTAAAAATTTGTTCAGGATATTAAAAGGTCTGCTGACTTGAAATTGTGATAGACCACATTGTTGACTCTAGATTTAATTGGAAGGGAAGAATATAAGACTAATTATGATATCCTCTGCCCACCTCTATTAATTTTCTTAAATGAGTATAATTTAGATGTAACATGCAAGTATTTTATGTTTATAGTTTGTAGAGTTTTGACAAGTGTGGACATCCACTTCACCACCACTACAAAGATGTAATGTATGTCCGTTACCCAAAAAGTTCTCTGAAGCCCTTTTGCGTCAATTCCCCGCCACCCCAACAACCATCCTTATTCAACTATCTGCTTTCTGTGGTTATGAATTAGATGTGACTTTTATAGAATTTCAAATAAATAGACTATACAATATATACTCTTTTTGTGTCTGACATTTTTTCTCAGCATGATGCTTTTGAAATCCATCCATGTTGATATTCAACCATGTTATTGTGTATATCAGTAATATGTTCTGTTTTATTGCTGAATAGTAGTCTAACATATGGATATACCACAATCTGTTTAGCTATTCACCTATTGATGGACATTTAGGTTGTTTCAGGTTTTGACCTATTATGAATAAAGCTGCTATGTACATACATCACAATTCTGTGTGTGGATATATCTTTTCATTTCTCTTGAGTAAATACTTAGGGATGGAATTACTCAGTCTTATGACAAGTATATGTGTAACTTTAGAGGAAACTGCTGAACTGCTGAGTATCTGTACCATTTTGCATTCCTACCAGTAATGTATTGAAGAAATTTCAGTTGCTCAACATTCTTGTCAATGCGCAGTATCGTCAGTCTCTAATTTTAGCCACTTTATTGGATGTGTAGTAGTATTTCATTGTGGTTTTAATATGCATTTCCCTAATGATGTTGAACCATTCTTAACCTTATCTGACATTTGTATATCTTCCTTTGGAAAGTTCCTGTTCAGGTATTTTGCCCATTTTTTATTTGGGTTATCTCACTGAGTTGTAAGAATTTTTCCTTTATACTGGATTAAAGGCCTTTGTGAGATATGTGTTATGAATTTTTTTCTACCCATTTGTGGCTCACTTCTTTGTTAATGATAATTTTTAAATAGAAGTTTTTAGTTTTGGTGATGGCTAATTTATAAGGTTTTTTTTTCTTTTATAGTTATGCTTTTTGTATGCTAAGAAATCTGTGCCCACTCCCAAATCAAAAGATTTTCTGTTTTCTGCTAGAAGTTTTATAATTTTAGCTGTCGTGAATAGGTCTGTGTTCTATTTCAAATTAATTTTTGTGTGTGGTATAAAGTACATGTTGAAGTTCATTTCTAGTTCTTCAAACACTGTTGAAAAAACTGTCCTTTCCCATTGAAATACTTTGACATCCTTGTTGAAAATCAATTCGCCATGTATTAGAGGCCCTGTCTGAGCTCTGTATTCTGTTGTACTGATTTGTCTATATGTCTGTTCTTATACCAGTACCACACTGTCTTGATTACTGTAGCTTTAGAGTAAGTTTTAAAAATCAGTGTGATTCCTTCAACTTTGTCTCCTTCACCCCCAACTGTTTAGCTATTCTGGTTTCTTGGCCTTTCCAGATACACTTTAGAATCAATTTGTCTGTATCTACATGAAAGCCTGCTGGGATTTTGATTGGGATTGTGTTCAATCTATAGATCAGTTTGGAAAGTATTGCCACCTTATCAGTGTTATGTCTTTGAATCCATGACTGTGGCATAACTCTCATTGTTTTAGATTTCCTTTAATTTCTTTTGATAATAATGCTTTTTAGTTTTCAGTGAATCAGACTTGTCCGTATTTTGAGTTCATCCCTAAGTATTTCATGTTTTTTTGATGCTATTATAAGGAATGTTTTTAAAATTTCAGTTTTCAATTTTGATAACGATTGCATAGGAATACCATTACTTTTTATATATTGACCTTGTAGCCTATAACCTTGACAAATTCTTTTAATATTATTACATTGTTAAATATGAAATGTCTGATTCCCTTAAGTACTAAGTTTGACAGTTGATACCTCTGACATTTCACTTTTACACTTGTTTTATTTTTATTGTGAAGGTACATCCTTATTCTTTCAAATGGATGGTTTGGCTCGTAATTATCTTTCAAAGTTTTTTTTAGAGCAATTTTTGTGAAACTAGGGGTAAGTCAAAAATTTGTGTTATTTTCGAATGGGTTTTGTCATGGAACCAATGCTGCACAGACAGCTTGAAATATGAACAAAGTGGGAAGGATGTGGCTAATGAATGCACAGTACATTGATGGTTTGAGAAATTCTGTTGTGGTGATTTTAATCTTGAAAATGAGCTGTGTGGGCGAACGAAGACCAAGGTGGATAATGATGAGCTGAAAGCTG